GTCTGAATACTTAGGACCATGTGATATTTCAGTTTTTCTTTTTTAATAAATCTGCAAAAATGTCAACAATTCTGTGTTTTTCTGTCAATATGGGGTGCTGTGTGTACATTAATGAGGAAAAAAAATTAACTTAAATGATTTTAGCAAATGGCTGCAATATAACAAAGAGTGAAAAATTTAAGGGGGTCTGAATACTTTCCGTACCCACTGTATATAATTTTATACAAATAAATACTTTGTGTTATTTATATATTTATATATTTCAAAAACATTAATAAAAATCTTACTGACACCAAATGTTTGAATGGTAGTGTGCATCATCAATATGCACACAAATTGCATAATCAAACATAATGTCTGAGATTATTGTGTGCAATGGAAACATGGACATGGACACCTGTGCTGATGCGCTTTAGAAATCAAAAGTGGGAGGTGGCTCTCTGCCTGTCAGTCATTTTTCATGTTCCAATGGCAGTTCATACTGTGCTATATATAACCTGTAAGAGAAAATAAAATGTAAAACATTCATGGTTTAGAATGAAATTAGATGTTGTTGCCTGATGTACAGGTTAATAGTAGCTGATATGTACATGTGTACAGATGTACATGTGTTGAGTGCTGGCTTTGTGTTGTGGTTCAGCGGACATCGGTGAGCTTCTGGAGCAGATGGTGGAGGAGATCACACACTCTCTGTCAGGCCCCGCTAAAGACTTCTACCAGCGCGAGTTTGACTTCTTCAACAAGATCACCAATGTCTCCGCCATTATCAAGTATGTCCAAAGCGATTTCCACCACATATGAGCTCTCTTTCAAACACTAGTGAACTGCCTCACTATTGACTGCAGTTACCTTCCTAGACAGCATCCTGACTGAAAGGGAACGATTAGAAACACCAGCATTCTTTCACTGATTTCATGGCAGTTTATACTAGGACTGTGCTATACCTGAAGGATGTATAGGATGATGCCTTAAAATTAGTTAGAGTTGATGAAAAGCTACTAATTAATTAAATCATAAAAATGTCAAATTAAACTCACTTTAAATTCTAAAAAAAAGCTATCAAAATTAAACGCTAAAATTTTGTATTTGTTTACCTGCATGTCATGAATTTTGTCATTTGTTTTTTCAATAATTTTTTGCTCATAAATATCAATTTCTACCCCCAAAAATATTTTTATAACTAAAGCTTGACATAACTAGAAAAAAATACAATTTAAAAAGTGTCATTAACTTCTTAAAATATTTTTAAGATTAATTCCCATGACTTTTCCAGGTCTAGAAATCACACTTTTAAAATGTTTTTATTATTAATATTAGAAATTAATGTTTTTTTTTCCAGTAATGATGCATTAAATTGAGAAGTCACAGTAAAAACAATCAAAATTAAACACTATACAAATATTTTAATTTATAAATATGATACTTAATATATAAATATACATTTTTATATTAATATAAAAAATTTTTTTTTTATTTACCTGCATATCTTGTGACCATTAACCGAGAGCTGTTGTATATTAGTGCGTCTACTGATGTTCTTGTTATAAAAACGGCTTATTTGGGAAGATTTGCCAAATTTAATGTAAAAATAATTTAATGTAAAAGAGTGAATTTCATGAAACCTGTCAGGTCTGAGTCATATTTTAAAATTAAGATTAATTTAATTACAAAATTAAGAAAAAATTCATTAGAAATTACAAGAACATTAAGCTGTTTTGCATTGTGTGCAAAATTATTTAATGTTAAAAGAGTAAATCTCCTGAAACCTGTCGTGTCCTGTTCATATTTAGCCACAAAATTAAGAAAAATAATCAGAAAGTACATGTTTGCAGGAAAATTAATCTTGTAAGATGTTTTGCATTTACGTGGCAAAAATATTTAATGTAAAAGGATGAATCACATGAAACCTGTCTAGTCTGAGTCATAATTTGAAAGTCATATAGAAGAAAGTCATATACACCTAGGATGGATTAAGGGTGAGTAAATCATGGGGTAATTTTCATTTTTGGGAGCACTATCCCTTTAAATGAAAAAGTCAATGTATTATAGTATTTGTTTTATTTCTTATTGAAGTAATTGTACAGTAAATTGTTGGGAGATATTCTTCATTTTCTCTATGCAAAATATACCTTGAATGCACTATAAGTAAAGAGAATATAAAAAAGCATGCTGTTCTTGTTTCCAGGCCTGTTCCTAAAGGAGATGAGAGGAAGAGAGCGTGTCTGAAGGCGCTGTCAGAAATCAAAGTTCAGCCAGGTCAGTAATCGGTCAATTTAAAGGGGTCATATGATGTTGCTAAAAATAACATTATTTGTGCGGCTTTATGCAAATCTTCCCACATCGTGACGTAGACATGGGGGTGTGTTAGAACGAGCCGTTTTAGGTAGGTGTGGCTGACTCTTAACTTTTATAAAGAATATCTCTTTGGATTTGAGACTTTAGTCTTTGCAACTTTACAGATCTTCTTTATGCACCAAGAGCTTGTAACACTCCAAAAAGAAAGGAAAAATTTAAATCGCATCATATGACCCCTTTAAGATAAATCTGAATGGTTGAGTAATTGCGCTTTAAAAATATATCTTGGGTATTTGTGTCATTTTTGATGTTTTCTGTTTATGGCTGAACTAACGCTGTAATCAGGATGCTATTTGCCAAGCAATCCAGAAGCTATCGTTCTCGATATCGACTACAAGTCAGGAACACCTATGCAGAGGTATCGCAAAACAACACCGCTCACCAGAAACCTGTTCACATGCTATCTCTTCACATTTCACTTGGGATTTATGAGCTCATTAACATTAGCTTGTTTTTACAGCGCTGCTAAAGCTCCTTATTTGGCAAAATTCAAAGTGAAGAGGTGTGGAGTTAGCGAGCTTGAAAAAGAGGGTGAGTCGCACATGACCTTTCATCTGTCATGAACTTGCAGCGGTTGCAGTATGCATGCAGTTTCTGTGTGATCAGAAGCGGCCCATTGTCTGTGTGTCTGCAGGTCTGCGCTGCCCGTCAGACTCTCAGGATGAAGGTGAGGAGAACTCAGAGACGGCTCAAAAGGTCTGCTGGCAGGCGGCCATCTTTAAAGTGGGTGATGATTGCAGACAGGTCAGTATCATGGGAAACATCCTTAATAATGTAAATGAGGGAACCTCATGAAATCTCTAAAGTTTGTATCATACTTCACTGCAAAATCAAAGAAAGAATTGATCATTTTTCAAACATTAAGATTTTGTAAAAAAAAAACTCATGAACAAACACATATACACACACAAACATATTTTACAAGAAAGAAAGAAATTATAATTTTTTTAAAATAATTTTGACAATTAAATGAATATTTCGTGAAAAAAATAGTTTTTTCATGTAATATTCATTAAATTGTAAAAATTATTTGAAAAAACTTAAAAATTCTTGTTAAATATGTTTTTGTTTGTGTGTGTGTGTATATATATATATATATATATGATTTAAATATTTGTATATGGTTAAAAATTAAATATAATTAAATAATAATTATAATGTTAATTTCAGCTGTTCCATTAGGTGTCGCCACCATATTTGCCATTTGTTTTACATCGTATATTTCATTATATTATATTTTTTCAGTGTAACCATTACAGTAATGAGAATTTTATGGGAAATTCTCATATAAATTGTTATATATGGCTTAATTGTCATGAAAAGGGGGATGCAATTTGACCTTGATGTGTTTTGAGTTAATATTAACCAGTAATTTTGTTTCTCTGGTATCAGGACATGCTTGCCCTTCAGATCATCGGTCTCTTCAAGAACATTTTCCAGCTGGTGGGTTTGGACCTGTTCGTGTTCCCGTACCGGGTGGTGGCCACTGCTCCTGGAGTGAGTGTCATTCCAGCTTCCTGTCAGACTTCCTGTTCCTGACCTGCTGAAGTTCTGCTTACCTGGATTTCCTGTTTGGTTCTTTTCAGTGTGGCGTGATTGAATGTATTCCGGACTGTAAGTCCCGCGATCAGCTCGGTCGGCAGACTGACTTTGGCATGTACGACTACTTCAGGAACCAGTACGGGGACGAGTCCACACTGGCCTTCCAGAAGGTGACAAACATTTGCTTCAGTAAATTTCATAGATTAGATATAATTGGTTTTTGCACAGAAAGTGCAAACGTTTGTATTGAATTGCTTATGCAGCTCTGATCATTTATTTCTTATACGTCTTGTGTAATGTCTCTCTCTCTCTCTCTCAAAGGCTCGGTATAACTTCATCCGCAGTATGGCCGCATACAGTCTGCTGCTCTTCCTGTTACAAATCAAAGACAGACACAACGGTAACATCATGCTGGACAGCAAAGGCCACCTCATCCACATCGGTGAGTCAGGTTAAACCAAACTAGCTTAACTTAAAGATGCCACATTCTTTGGTAGCAATTTATATCCACTTATAATATCAGTCGGATTCTTGCACCATAATTTAGACTATTTTCCTCCCTTTTTTCTACCATTTTATTCAAACAGGCTGTTTTTGCTACTGTACATTTAAGATATGTAAATGATATGTAAAATGTTATTTTAAACATAAAATATATGTAAAATATAAAATAAAAGCTAAATAAAAAATAATAGAAATGATGTTTATATTTTGTTTTGGTTTTTATTAATATTTTGAATTAGCTTTCATTTTTATACTTTTAGTTTTTATTTTTAGTTTATTTTTTTGTAATTTGTTATGTGCTTCTGCCTATTCGTGTTTTTTCTTTTTTTACATTTATTTTAGCTTTAGTACAGTTTTAGCTTTTATTTATATCCAATTTGTCATTTTTTTTGCTTTACCTTAAACTTATTTCAGTTAGTTGCCAAGGCAGCATTTCTAATTTTTGTTTAGTTTGTTTTTCATCTAATATTGATATTTTAAGGTAATGTCAGTAACCCTGGTAACCACTACATATTCATGTTTTTTAATAGTATGTCTCTAGTACATCATACAAGGAACATTTTCATCGTACAACCCCTTAATTATCCCATTCTTGCAATAAAAACTCAAATTAAACTAAATGTAAAAAATGTATTAAATTAATTTTAAATTAACTTCAGACTTATAATTAACTGTCAATACACTTAAAAAAATTTTTTTTAAATATATTAAAATACATTAACATAAAATTTTAAACACTTTTATAAAAGGATGAAATGACTGTTTCTGTTTGTGTTTTATGTGTTTTTGTGTCCTGTAGACTTCGGCTTCATGTTTGAGAGTTCTCCGGGGGGTAATCTGGGCTGGGAGCCCGACATCAAGCTGACCGACGAGATGGTGATGATCATGGGCGGCAAGATGGAGGCCACACCCTTTAAATGGTTCATGGAGATGTGTGTGCGCGGATACCTGGCTGTAAGGTGAGACAGTCGCTCTTCAATAATTCAGCATCCTCCGAGATGATGGATTAGTTCAAACGTGAGGACACATGAGGGTGTCTGGGAAGGATTTGGGAGGATTTTGGCTGCCCTCTGTGGGGCAAACCACCCCAATATTTTACGATTGTAAAAGTATATTATTATAAAATCAAATTAGAACTAAAACTGAAACCATAAAACATTTCCGTTCCTTTAAATAACAGAAACCATTCATGGAAATAAAATAAAATATAAAGAAAATCTTGATTTGATTTTTTTTTTTTTTCAACGGCTTGCCAAGGCAATAATTCTAAATATAAAAATAAAAACTATAATAGCATCTCGTTGATACTATAATAATGCTGGTTTTCTATCAGTAGCTTGTTTAGAATTTAATTTGATATATTCGATGCCTGTTTTTGTGCTTTCTAAAACCCTTCTATGTGTGTGTCTCAGGCCGTACATGGATGCTGTCGTATCTCTGGTGACATTAATGCTGGACACGGGGCTGCCGTGCTTCAGAGGACAGACTATCAAACTCCTGAAGTACGTTACTAAATATTAAATCATAGTTTAATGCTCTAATCTGTCGTTACTTCCTCTGAAATACTGATTGCTGTACGTCAGTGTTTTTCATCTAATATTTATATTTTATTTCAGTAATTAATAAAAATGTTTTTAATAGTTTTAGTTGATGACAATAACCCTGCTGTATTGTATTCGGCAGGCAAAGGTTCAACCCCAACATGAGAAACCACCCCAATATTTTACGATTGTAAAAGTATATTATTATAAAATCAAATTAGAACTAAAACTGAAACCATAAAACATTTCCGTTCCTTTAAATAACAGAAACCATTCATGGAAATAAAATAAAATATAAAGAAAATCTTGATTTGATTTTTTTTTTTTTTCAACGGCTTGCCAAGGCAATAATTCTAAATATAAAAATAAAAACTATAATAGCATCTCGTTGATACTATAATAATGCTGGTTTTCTATCAGTAGCTTGTTTAGAATTTAATTTGATATATTCGATGCCTGTTTTTGTGCTTTCTAAAACCCTTCTATGTGTGTGTCTCAGGCCGTACATGGATGCTGTCGTATCTCTGGTGACATTAATGCTGGACACGGGGCTGCCGTGCTTCAGAGGACAGACTATCAAACTCCTGAAGTACGTTACTAAATATTAAATCATAGTTTAATGCTCTAATCTGTCGTTACTTCCTCTGAAATACTGATTGCTGTACGTCAGTGTTTTTCATCTAATATTTATATTTTATTTCAGTAATTAATAAAAATGTTTTTAATAGTTTTAGTTGATGACAATAACCCTGCTGTATTGTATTCGGCAGGCAAAGGTTCAACCCCAACATGAGTGAGAAGGAAGCCGCGGCCTTCATGATTAAAGTCATCGAGCGCTGCTTCCTCAGTAGCAGGTAACAGACATCACCTTGTCACATAATATTCAAAGAAAATGTGTTATTGTGAACGTTTATGGTGAAACTCTGTGTTTCTCTGATACAGGAGCAAAACCTACGATATGCTGCAATACTACCAGAACCAGATCCCATACTGAGACCATTATCACTGAGACTGAGGTCATTATCAGTCTATTACAATCCTTTATGACGAGCACTTTATAGATCGGAATAAGTCACCTGCTCTGATTGGCCCTGATGGCGGTGTCCAGGCGTGTCACTTCCTGTCCGGCTGCCTCAGGGCCTCTCTAGTGATCCACTGTAGTCCAAACGCTGCATGTTTGTCCTCTGATCTCCCTTTAAGGCATCTGCCATGACCGTTTGTGTGTGAATTTTGACATTCCATGCGTAGAAATACATCCTTTAACTCTACTTGAATCTCTGGGTTTAGTCGCGTCACCCAGAAAGCCATTTCTAAGACTACGGCACAGATTGCACTGTAGATTACGTGCCGTCAGCAAATGACCTGTGTTATGCAATACATCAGTGTTTGTATGTTGTATCTCGTCGTGTTCGGCACTGAATGGGTGAATCTCATGAAAGCTGTCAAGTATGATTATTATAGTTTTGCAAGAAAATTGTCTATTTTTAGGACTGTTAGATTTTTTGCATTGTGACTGTGCGTAGCACATTTTTAAACAATTTCTTATTTTAAGCATAAATGTCGCTACTTAGTATTTATACCTTTAATTTGTTGATTTAAATAAAGAAAAATTACAGCATTTTATTTACTATAATACAGCAAAAATGACTGTATTACAAAAAATTTACATAAGTCTAAATGCATTACAGTAAAACTGCTTGCTTGACTAGAATAATGCTAATAATACAAATAAAAATAATGGCAAATGCAACGTTCCTAAAAAATGTCACATTAATGTAATGCAAAATGTCACTAATTGATATTTATACATCATGTTGGTATAAAAATTCCAGCATTTTTATTATAATACAATAAAAAATACTGTAATGAACAATACAAAAAATTAGTACACCATCTGAATACATTAGTAATTAGAATTGTGGGAAGATAGTTGCTTGGCAAGAATAATGCAAATAATACTAATAAAAAAATAATGAAAAATATCTTAATGCTCCTCAAAATAGGTTAAATTTTATTTTATTTTTTTGGCATTGTGACGTACATAGCACATTTTTAAACCATTTCACATTAATGTAATGCAAAATGTCACTAATTAATATTTTTACATCATGATGGTATTTGTTGTACTGCCTTTAATTTGTGTTTACTAAAATTAAGAAAAAATATAGCATTTTTTCAGTATAATACAACAACAAAAAATACTGTTACACTATGAATCCTGATTGAAAGTATGAGAATTTAAAAAAAAAATTTTTTTTGGCAGTGTGCACATTGTGCATTTTAAACAGTTTCTCTATGTAATTAATATAATGCAACAAAAACAACTGTATTACACAGAGTAATGAAAATGACAAAATAACTAATACACTGAGCATTACATGCATTACAGTAATGAGAATCTTGGGGGGAAACGTTTGCTTGGCAAGAAAAATGCAAATAATACAAATAAAAAAAAATAATGCAAAGTATTTTAATGCTCCTGAAAATAGGCTTTATTTTCTTTATGTAAAAGATGGTTTTGATTTTTGTGGTGAATTGTGAGCTGGATGTGTTTTCGTGAGATTCACTCAGATGTCGTTTTTTTGTTTAACCCCTAACAGGGATCTTCAACCCAAAAAGACGATGTAGTTTACTGACTTAACGGAATATCTGGTGTCATTCTGCATGTGTTTTTCAAAACACTGAAGCTGTAATTTCATAGTGGACTCAAAATAGGGGCTTGCGAGTATTATCTTCATTAGACAGATTTGCTGTATAGTTGCTGTTCTTCATATGCTGTCATAGTTTCGCTGATTTTTTCTCATAACCAGTGAATGGATTCAAATTAGCTCTACACATTAGAGACAAAAGCTTTAGTCTTATGAATAATTTTCCTTTAATGTTGCTCAAAGATAAGAGATTATTTTAGCTGTATAGAAACAATAGATTACAGAAGCTATAGTTCATTTGTGTGTATATGTGTGCGTCGAATATTTGTGACAATATGGCAGAAAATTCTTCATTTCTGTGTATGTTGAAGTTTGATCCGTGTTTTAATTGGTTTGCATCACCATTGACAATCAAGTCGCTTGTTGAATTGTGTTGTGTGAATCCACTGACATGTTTGTTGGTGAAAAACACGTCATGTGTGCTGGGAACGTTTCTTAACCTCATGACAAGCCGTCACCTATGATATACGCCGTTTGTCCGCATTTGCACTTTTAACATTTCATTTCTGTCCGTGTAATCAATCAAATGTATTTGTGAACAGAAATGGACCTGAAATCATCTATTAAAATGTAAACACTGGGACTAAACTGTGCTGCTTCTAGTCTTTGACGCCATCCGATGATTGCGTTCCATTATTCATCGTAGAACCCGATCCTGTGTGTTTTACCTAGAGGACGCTTTAGATGCTCTATTAATATTTAATAGCTTGATGTAGCCAGCGGCCGCAGATCTGCTGAACTAATGCTCGAGCGGGAGCTCATCACGTTTTAAACACTTACAGACTCCTTATGAAACAGATCTAAAATCTCATTGGATGAGCCTCGTTTGAACACTGTAAAATAAAGTAAGTCTGTGTGTTACAGTTTTACAAGTAAAAGACGTTCTTATGCATTATGCAAAACAGATTAGCAATATGATTTTTTTTTTAAAACATGATAACCTTCCACCAAGAGCTTCAAACTAGGCTTTAGAGTCAAAATCAGTTTTATAATGGCCAGTTGCACAGCAGTTTAATTCTACATTGATGCACCGCTGTGTTCATTTGAGTTTTGAATATTTTTTCTTTATTGTTATATTAATTATAGAAAGCATTACAGTTGTCTATAGATAGGCCAATGAGCTAAATTACATGGATGGAACAGTTCATACAATAAATGGTTTAATTAATGAACATTTGTAGTTTTTATAATACACTGCAGTGTCATTTTAGTATCATTAATATACTATTATGGTTTTTGTCAATATTTTTTTTGACACTGTAAAACTGCTTTGACACAATCAGTATTGTATAAAGCGCTATACAAATAAAGGTGACGACTTATAAATTGGATCTTATTTTTAGGTTTTAATTTGAGTGAGTATTTTTAAATTATTTAAAAGTATTTTTTTTTAAATATGTAAATACAATTTTATTATCAATATCAAGTTTTCGTTTCAAGGTTCAATTTGTTTAGTTTTATTTATTTTAGGACTTCGACTAAAAAAATGGTATGATTTTAGTTTTAGTTCACAATAATAAATCTGGCAACAGCATTAAACCAATGAAGGTTGTGCAGTACAGTGATTTTTGTTTTTAACCATGGTTAAAGATGTAAAGACAATCCACATTGCGTAAGAACCCAATAACATCCATTTACCATGGTAAAATCACTGGCTCCCAAGGTGTACTACCTATAGATATACAATATATAGATATAGATACAGTGTTATTAACAGATAGTATAGTAATACAATGGTGCTGTATTTTTTTTTAATCTTATCAATGTAAATGTACTATATATATATATATATATATATATATAAATTTAATAAAAATATATATAAATGGTATATGATATATATAAAATTCTAAAATTAATTTGTTGAACTGAATTCTTTAAAGTGCCGTGTGTTGTTCCTCCAGAGCACATTGATACTCTGGCAGTGTTTTGTAAGTTCAGAGAGAGATCTGAGCTCAGACTGGTTTGTAAGAGAGCTGTAGCACAAGAGCTCCTCTGAGCTCCTCACTGTCTCCAGGAATTCCACTTCCACATCCATACATTAGTCGGAATACCGGATCGCCATGGCAACGGTTCCCTGAGCTCTGCGGTTAGGGGAGGTGGAGGGTGGGATTGGGCTGCAATAAAAAGGTGTTGCCACTGACTTCTCAAACATGCCCATTTATTCTCCACAGGGCAATTTCAGAAAGCGCAGTTCAGCCCCTCCCTGCTGCCTGTGATTCGGCCGGAGGCGCTTCGGGTGGAGGGGGGTCTGTTGCGTAAAGAATGAGACCGAATGCGTTTGCAACCACATTACCTACAGCAGCAACACTGAGCATTAGACTGGGTTCAGCTTGGACTCCAGTGAGGGGCTGCAGAACGGCTACTCTCATTTTTAATGAGCTTAGAGATTAAGGGCTTTAATGTGTAGCTGGTCGTCATGACAATGTGCCAAGAATACTGTACACTTACACATTGATCCTGAGGTGCCAAACACATACTGACAATAACAATATCCTGAAATAGAGATAGGACATTTCCTAGCCTTAGATTCACTTTGGTCATGAAGAACCTGTGAATATCAGACAATTTCAATTGTGATTTCAAGGACTGGTAAAGTCTTAAAACGTCATGGAAAGACACATTTTTATGCGTCGTGGTACTCTCGTGAATGGCGGCAGAGACTGACCAGAAGAGAAGAAATTGTTGAATAAAGTCGTTATTTTTGTTTTCTTTGCGCACAAAAAATATTCTCATGTCCTTACTACATTTCTGGGCTTTGAATGTGGCAGTTCCATTGCTGTCTGTGGAGGGTCAGAGAGCTCTCGGATTTCATCAAAGATGTATTAATTTGTTCTGATGATGAACGAAGGTCTTACAGGTTTGGAACAACATGAGGGTGAATAATTAATGACAGAATTTTAATTTTTGACTGAACTATCCCTTTAGCCCCTCTTATTTTTCAAATCCTCTCCTCCTATAGCATGACTCCAATCTGGTTGGACACGCCCACTTTTTATGCTCCAATCAACTGCTGTCAAAGTTGATAATTACAACATTTTTAAATGATCCCATAAATGCAGTGTCAACTGCACATGATAATGCAACTGCATTCAAGAAAAAAGACATTTCTTCCTTGAGCGAAATATTAATATCCAGGTCATGGTGAGTAAAGGTGAGAGCGGCGGGTGAAGACCCGGCTCATCCTGGTATTACCGTAGTATTATCAGACCTCATTGCATTGTCTTAAGCATGTAAAGGAGGGCGAGACGGCAAGCGTGGTCTTCATCAGACCCTCTGCTGTCTTCAACACACACACACACACACACACACACACAACTAACACAACATGACAGTGATGAATGTGCCGGAGCGCGGCTGGGGCCGCTCGGACCCTTTGTGAATCTGCTTACATATGGTGGGGGGCCGACCCATGTGACACATTATTGTTAATCAAATGCACTTGACAGTTCCTGATTAAAAATGTTGTACCTAGAGGCCAGACTTCACTGCATTTTAAACACTGCGGTCAAGTCAAGTCACCTTTATTTATATAGCGCTTTATACAATACAGATTGTGTCAAAGCAGCTTTGCAGTGTTAAACAGAAAAAACGTGTGCTGATAATGCAAGAGGACAATAGAAAACAGTCAGTTTATCAGTTAAAGTCAGTTCATTGTTGATTCAGTGATCAAATCGTCCAGCTCAGTTCAGTTCTCTTCCAATAGTGTCTGTACAGTCAAGTCAACAATGTTGCCAGAAATTAAGCGTCCCCAACTAAGCAAGCCAAAGGCGACAGTGGCAAGGAACCAAAACTTCATCGGTGACAGAAATGGAGAGAAAAAAAACCTTTGGAGA